AATCTGCAGAGAGGGTCAGAAGGAGGAAGGTCATGATTCCCTCTGGACAGAGCTCTGGAAGAAATTGATGTCTATGGGGGAAGATGGAGACAGGTGGAATGGTGTATGTATTGGTGAAGAGATTGATAGAGCTTGTTCAGACACAGGAGCTAGCAGAAGGAGTAGAGCCAGACCTGAATCAGTCAGCTCAGTCTTCAGTGCCTTCTGATCCACAATAGGGATGCCCCACTCCCCAAGCACCCAGGGGGCTGGTAGGATGAGTCTGCTTTGACTACTGGGGGTGCCCAACCATTCAGGTTTTAGTGGGAGAAAAAGGGAATGTGAAAACCCCCCAAATGCTGATTGATATTGGAGCCTCAATCAGTATTTTGCAATAGCAATGGGTTCCAGGTAGGGTGTTGATGGACCCCAATCATTTGCAACTGCAATCCTATACTGGAGAATTAGAGGGCTCACTGGCTACCCAATCTATTGGGACTCAAATGGGAGAGTTTGAACTGCTGAAGTTCACTCTCCAATCTCTTACACTTATTTCTTAATTCAACTCTCTTTTCCACTGTTGCCTTCTGTATAAATGCTATGGTACTTGGCTTCACCTCTTTACAAAGCATGATAGAAAGTAGCCTTGTTTTCTGCTGGTTTGTATTTTGTTCTGTAACTCCCAAATGTATATACATATCAAAATGCAACAATCAAGCTTAATGATACCAACATACACAATTTTCATATTGGGGCACAAGGTGTGACCCTGCTTCCAAAAAAAAAAGACAGACAGAAAGATCTAGGATCATAGGAAAGTAGGACTGGAAGGGACCTGATGAGGTCATCTAGTCCATCCCCCTGCTCAAGGCAGGATCATCCCTGACTAAAGCATCCCAGCCAAGTGTCTATCTAACCGGCAAAACATCCAAGGATGCGGATCCACAGTTTTTCTAGGTAGCCTGCTCCAATGCTTGACCACCCTCAAAGTCAGAATGTTCCTTCTAAACTCCAACCTAAATTTCCCCTGCTAAAGCAAGAGGTCACTACTCCTAGTTTTCCAAAGTGCTGGATTCTGGATGCCCAGAGGGCAAATGGGATAGCAACCTTTTCCATCCTTCACAGAGATATGACTGGTTCTTCCTATTTTGTATACTAAAACCTTGGCTGTTCTGAGGGGAGTATAGTGTGATTTGTATACTATTATTTTATTTTATGATGAACTTAGGAGCAGAGGCCATGACTGGGAAAGCAACATATATATGTCTCATATTTATTTATAAAGGGAATGGAACCGAAGAAGACATTTATTTTTTAATTGCTCATGATGCAGCTATGTAGCAATTCAATAAAGCATCAATTTACTATGTTTCCAAAGTATATGTATTTTATGGTTTCAATTGGAGATTGAATAGTGACTACATACAGAATGATGGTGTTCAAATGAGCAAATTGGACAAATGCATGATCTTTCCTAGACAATAACTTTTATTTAATATATTTCAGAAGTTTATGCACAAATTCAGGCCTGGACTTATGAGGTGCAACTCTATTTCCAAAATGTACTTGCACCCACTGGCACCAGATCTGAACTTAGCTAATCATGAGAAGATGGATGCAAACAGACTTGCAAATGCCAAAATGAGATCTTGGATGCTGAGCTCCTTTCCCCATCTTGCTGCAAATAACAGCTTTCCTTATCATTTTCAACAGAAAGTGTTTGGAATGCTCATTTTTGACTTCCTGAGATAAATGTGCTTGACTCTATGCAAGTGTCTACAGTTACCAAAAGCAGTGAAACATAATGATATGCCTCCACATGAATATTCAAGCTCTTTCAGGAGGACACCACTAAGATCATTATAATTGCTAATTATAAATGTGGTAGCCAAAACTCCAGCTTCCTTCCATTATTCTTACATCCTGCAGATGTTCTGACTTAGCCAGCTAATCATTAGATTCTTTTGGGAATCATCTGATTGCTTGGTAAATAAATACAAAAAATAAAAAAGTTACATATGTTTGTAGTATTTGTTTCCCAAATACATTTTATGGTGATGTCTGCATATATTAAACACTTTAAAAACAGAAGCCCAAAGACATATTTTGGTTTCTGGGATATTGCATATCCCTTAAGTCACAGTAGACACTTCATTGTGCCTTCAATCATAACACCACCTGCTGGCCCACTGGCAGAGCAAGCGCTTCAATATCTGCCATTGGTTTATGTGTTCTGCTATTTTTGTTTGCTCCTGAAAACATTGTTCCCACTAGACTGTCCTTGTAAGAACTGTTTATATCCTTGGATATGTTTGTTGCCTGATGCTATGCTGTTCTTTCTGCTACAGCCCTTGTAAGGTGAGGTTTTGGACAATGATAACAATGAATGATGGGTCAAGACTATTCTGATCATTCTGAGAATATTATACTACCTGGAAGTGATGGATATTTGAATGTCATCTTATTTTTTCAGCTGTTCTAACTGTCCTTTAGCTAATCAGACAGCAAGTAATCTGTCACCCTGTAACCTGTGATGAAAAAGGAGGTAAAGAGTGAAAAGGGGTTGCAATATAAAACCACAGTCGAGAGGGCCTAGAAACACTCAAATAATGCATTTTACCTACAACTGCAAGAGACAACATTTGTAAAGCAGTTATGCTGAACGATGTAAAGTATTTATGGTATGGATTCATGATATTGCATAATTAGACAATTTGAAAACTCATATCCTTTGAAAAGGCTGCTAATGGAGAAAGGGAAGAGAGATAATTACAGGAGTTGGCAGAGATAAAGCACCAGATCACAATAGCAAATTTGGCCACAGAATTGATTAGCAGCATGAGGGACTCTTTTGTAACAGAACAAATTCTATTATTCTGCCTCCTCTATTTCCAGTAAGCCAAAGAGCTCTAATCTACAGTTGCTAGAGGATGTTTGGATAGTATTCTCTCTCTCTAACCTCTCTCTTGATATTTTAGTAAATACAGTTACCATATTAGTTACTAGCAAAAGTTATTAGTTATTAAACACTGTGTAGGTTGCTGAATTAATCTATCTGAAGAAACACCCCTCTTCATTCACACATATGTGCTATTTTATTGTTAAGGATTTGACAGATACAATCATATTTAGTTTGCTTGGTGATTTTCAGTCCTAAAATTGCTGCTAGGTCACCTTCCTAGAGCACTGGAAATCACTGTGCAAAGGCCAGCCCTATGGGTATGAAGCAGGCTTTTCAAAAGTGATAGTCAAAGACCTGGGGAAAGAGGAAGCTTGAGAAAGGAAGAGCAACGTGAAAAGTGACATGGTAGAGGTGAGTGGTAAAAAGGATAGGAAGAGGGAAGGGGAAAAAGGGAAGAAAGAGAATTGGGAGAGGAGAAAAAAGAGGCAGTAGGTCTAGTGAACCCTGAAGAAACCTCACAAGAATGCTGTAGAAATATGAATATTCATGTCCTTTTTCATTATTATTATTTTTTAATCTGTGACTAGAACTGATAGAAATATAAAATGCAATAATAAAAACTTGACCCTGGAATTTGTGCTAATCAAATGACTCACAGATGGTAACAGATTTCATAGATTTCATAGACATTAGGGCTGGAAGGGACCTCGGAAGATCGAGTCCAGCCCCCTGCCTCAGGGGCAGGAAGTCAGCTGGGGTCATAGGATCTCAGCAAAAAAAAAATCCAGGTTTCTCTTGAAGGTGTTCAAAGTAGGTGCTTGAACCAGCTCCGGCAGCAGGCCATTCCAGACCTTGAGAGCTCAGACAGTAAAGAAGTTCTTCCTTATGTCCAGCTTGAAACGGTCTTGCAGGAGTTTATAACCGTGTGACTTTGTCATCCCTTGGGGCGCTCTGGTGAACAAACGTTCCCCCAGATCCTGGTGAACACCCCTTATAAACTTATAGGTGGCCACCAGATCTCATTATGTAATCCTTGAGTTTTAACATATCTTAAATTAAAATGACCTTTATATAGGTTTATTTTTTAAAGCATCTTAAAAAATTTTTTTTAAATATGATGACATCAAAAAATCTGACTTAAATTAAAAAAATAAAATTTTTTATTTAAAAAAAATTGCTGATTTTTATCCGCCCTGTCTACTATATGTGCATTTACTGGTCTAGAAAAACTGGTGCACTGTATTGGAAGAGGCCCAATATTATTTATCTTCATTCCTGCCTGTGAGGAAATGCAACATTGTGGAGAGAGGGAACTGAAGCTCAGATAGAGTTAGTGTCCCTGCTCCCCACTGTCTTTCGCTTTCTGTCATCATTTCTATCAACACAAAATTCTCCCTGTATGATTTGGCAGCATATAATACCTGCTTTGCTCAACACAAGTGCAGAACAAGAGAAAAGTGTAACCTCTATGTCTCATCCAAGTTTATGCAGGAAGGCTGTTGCAGAGCCTGTATCAGAACCCCAAATGCCCAAGTCCCCTTTAAGGTTAGGGACAGAAGTTACACATGAACTGGTTTAAATGATCAGAAACTGGTTTAAACCTGTAACAGAACAGGAGTTCAGTGCACATAAACCAGTTTCAAAATGGCTGAAACTGGTTTAAGATAAACCTGGTTAAATGTGGTGTCAGACTTAACTGATCTGGGTCAAACCGGTTTATGAAACTTCTGTCCCCTTCCTGGTTCAAGTTAGATCACAGTCCCCCAGCACCCCAGCATGCTTTTCAGCCCCAGGCTGGGTTGTGCTGTGCTTTGGCTCCAGAGAACAGGGCTGGAGCAGCGAGGGCTGGCTGACAAATGGGGGCACAACCCGGCTGGGGATGCAGCCTAGTTGCCTGTGCGGGGAGCAGTTCCCCCACCTTGTAAAACCCCAGCTGGGGGCTGGGGCCAGGGAGGGTGTTAAACTCCTTTACCAGCTCAAACTTACTGCTGGCTGCAACTGTGGACTACAAATCCCAGAGGTATCTGGAAGCAGGAAAAGGAAGTGATGAACAATCCTACAGAGTCCTGGTGCTGTGATTTTTGGACTGCAAGTCCCAGAGACCTTGGGGGCAGCAGAAACAGGAAGTGAGCATGCAGCCAGAGAGCCTTGCTCAAGCCTTCCCCCCCAGCTTCTGGCCTGCATAAATGCAGGCATGTGGTTGCATTTCCTGAATTAAAGGTAAATGTCTGTTCACTTCTCTTCCAATTTAATCTGTGCAGTTTATACTAACCTGCAAAGACTGAAATCGATTTAGCCTTGGGCTTTTTGACTGTCTGTACTTAGCCTAAATGTTTTTACCTTAGAATAGTTCTTCTTTTCAGATGTCACTGCAGTGCACCAGGCTATTGTGTTTCAGTGTAACAGCATGCTGTACATGAATGCAGTAAAGTTAATTATTGCACCCTGAGCAGTAGTAAATCTCAAGATTCCAATGTACCCATGCTTTTATTCACAAGCATTTAATGTTAAACATAGGAGAGTAGTCAGTGAATGAGTGTGACTCAGGAAATATGGGCTCCAGCAGGATCCCCTACTTGCCAGTGAGGTAATTAGCTATATATTCTCTTGGGCCTTACCCCTATTAGGTAGGAGGGACTTGGCAGTCTCCCACCACAACTCTCTAATGCTAGACTGATTTCCCCATCCTACTTATCACTCTTACAACTTGCTTCTTTGCATGGCATACTTTACCTCTGTCCTGTGTAGAATCAAATTCTTATAGTTTTCTTAAAGCTAGTTGAATTCCTTTGGCTAGATTCTGCTCTGTTACATCAATGCAACCCTGATAGTCTCATGTGCATGGCCAAGGATAAAACTATGTTGAGCAGGCCTGTCAGTTATCTGTTTCTCTCATATTGTTTTCTTTCTTTGATATAAATGTTGGCCTTGGAGAAATCCTTCTCTATTATGTATGGTTTTTTTCCTGAGACATAAAGAATACAATGAACAAACTTGGCCATACTTTAAAGGTTATTTAAAAACATGCACAAAAGTTTTTGAATATCTCAGATGTTAGAAAAGCATGTGTGCATTTGATTAACCATTATAGACAAAGATTAGAAAATTTAGAGAGAGGGGAAGGATGAAAAGCACACTCATCTGAAAACCTCTAACTTTTGATGAAAGTCAGTGAAATGTGGTTAACATATGAGACTAGTTTCCTGAATAATATCACTGTACTCTGAACATAAGCAGAGTTAGGAGGAAGATTTTCCATCACTTTCATGGATATCCCACATGTACCCATGAGTATACATTTTTAAAGCCATGAAGTATTACAACTATATATTTGTGCCAGTGACTTGTACTTAATCTGTTTTGTAAATACTAGGATCTCTATAACCTTGGGCCAAATTCTGCCATGAGATGAACATATACAATTTCCATAGATTTCAATAGGACTTATGGATGAACAGCTGAGAGTGTAATTTGATGTGTTGGGACTGATTCTGCTCTTAGCGGCAGAAAGCTAATGGAGAATAGCATAGGCCCAAATCTAAGCTCAGTTAAACCAGCATAACTTGGGGGTAACAACACTGAGCACAGGAGAGTTGCGCCTATTAAAAAACACCTCAGCAATCAAGATCAGAATTCCATCTGTTGCATTTTAAATCCTTACAAAAAAAATTCTTCTGGACTGCATTTTGGATCTTGACAATGATGCTGGGTTTTTTATGTGTACAGAACTCCCACTGATGTCAAGGGTCTTTGCTTGTTGAAAGACCAGAATATCAAAATGCAGACCCAAGAACTGAATTTTGCTTTTTACTCCAGTGAGGGCCAGATTCTGATGTCAGTTATATCAGTGTGAATTAAGAGCAACTCCAGTGATCTCATTATTACCCTTGACTTATGCAGTATACTTGAGAACAGTTTGCTTCAACACATATTGCATATACTAAAATAATATTGTAATCATTGCCTGGAATTTACCAAAATTAGAGTGGAACAAAGCACCGGGTTTCGTGCAACTCCACAGCTCTGCAAGAAGCCCTGCAGGCAGCCTGGTAGCAGCCTGGGACAGCAGGCTCCACCCAAGAAAAGTGGTGAGCCTGATTTCTCTCCTCTCCCCGCCTGAGCCTGTCTGTCTGCCTGAGCTATGTGGGGGCCCGGTGCATCCCTCCCTGGCTGCGGTGCCCCCTGGGATTGCCCGAGCCAGGTGCCTGCGGGTGGGTGCCTCTTGGGGAGGCCGCTGCTGATGCAGAGAGAAGCACCAGCCCCCCACCACAGTGCAGGGACCACTCCACCAACCGGCATCTTGTCCTCCCCTCCCTGCCGGAGAGATGACATGATATCCTTTGAAGGGTGCTATGAGGGGCAAGGTATAAGGAAATAAGTGAGGTGTGAAGAGGTAAGCGGTTATGTGCAGGCTCAGACTTGTCCCTGGCTGATCCAACACCCCTGCTGCCTGGCTCCTCTGCAAGGAAGTAAACACTGTAATATATAAATTAGCTTTCAAAACTGGGTGCCATTCCATTCACAAAAGTTATGGAGAGTTGCCTTGAGTCCAGTGCAATGTGCCTCAAGCCCAAAAGAGTTTCAGAACCAGTGGTTTAGGGGTATTTGATATTTTTGTTGTTAATTATAAAAAAAGATAATGCCTTTTGCAAAGGTAGCATTTGGGGTTGGGCAATATTTGAGACTGGATGCATCTCTGTGGTATATTTGTAATTTATAGTATTGCAAAAGACTATAAAAACGTTGTTATAATTCAGTGTATGTTGCTACTATCTAAGGAAAGGACATCCTATTAGCAAAAGGCACAAATACCCAATGTAATCTGAAAATAACACAGCATAACTGATAATACTTTTGAACATACTCATACTGAAAGATACCAGGAGTTAATTGTGCAAAATAATATTATTGCACATCCAAATGCCACATCTAAATGTTATAGTACATTAAAGCATAGTACTACAGTGAATTAATAGCCCTAAAACAGTGATAACAAGCATGGCTGGATATGCGGAGGTGTACTCCAGCTGCTTTCAGTCAAATATAAGATATGTTAAGGAAATAAATGTACAATTGCTTTTGATAGGACTTAATGAGACATTAAGTAACAATTTAGAGTGAATAAAGCTACATTAAAAGAGCCTTTCCTATTAAGTTTTTGCAAATTTAATAGCAAACTATGTTCTTGGGAAAACTACTGTAAAGTGAATGCACAGATGTTTGGAAAAAATTCTTGAAGAATAGTTATCAATATTTCACTGTCAAACTGGAAGGATGTATCAAGTAGGGGTCCAAAGGGGTTTGTCTTGGGTTGTGCATGAGTCAACATTTTCATTCTGACTTGGAATGCAGAGTACACTTTACATTTCCATATAATATCAAGATAGAGAGTTTGCAGGCCCTTTGGAAGACAGAACTAGAATTCAAAATGGCCTTGACAAATAGGAGGAATAGTGTGAAATAAGTAGAATGCAATTCTATAAGGGCAAGTACAAAGCACTACATTTCAGTACGTATAATCAGCTTCACAAGTAATACAATGGAGAGGCATTGGCAAGGCAGCAGTTTTGCAGAAAAGGGATTGTAGACTACAAATTGAATACAAGGTAACAATGCCATGCCCTTGTGCAAAAAAGCCAAACAAGTAAACATCATACAAGGTTGTATAAACAGCAGTGCTGTATGTCAGACGTGAAATAATCATTCCATTATATGTAGCACTGCTTAGGCCTCAGCTGTGGTATATGTCCAGTTTTAGGCAAAAGACATCAAGAAAGACACGTGGACTAACTACAAAGCGTCTAGAGGAAGGCAACAAAAAGTATCAGAGGTCCAGAAAACATGCCCTTTGAGGAGAGATACAGAAAGAACTTGGATTGTTTAGTCTAGAAAACAGAAGACTGAGTGGAGACAAGATAATGGTCTTTGAATACATACAGAGGAAGTTAACAAATTGTTCTCTATTTCCACTGGGGATAGGAAATGTAGTAATAGGCTTAAATTGAAGCAAAGGAGATTTAAGTCAGACAGTTAGAAAATTTTTCTAACTGTAAAGATAGATAAGCATTGTAAGTGATTACCTAGGGAGGCTGTCGAATTTCCATCATCAGAAGTTTTAAAAAATAACAGTTGTGAAGTTTTAGGTATAGCTGACCCTGTTTTTGAGTGGAACGCTGGCTAGATGACCTCTTGAAGTCCCTTCCCATCTTGTTCTCTATCAAACCCTTCACATTTCACTTAGCCTATAGGGAAGACTATACTTGTACAGGAAGCTGGTGCTATTTAGAGATGTTCATGTATAGGAAAACTGGGCTTTAGGGAGAGGGAGACTTTCAAAGGCAAAAGGTGCAGTTATTTTACCTTCACCCACCGTTTTTCAATAGGAGTGGGACATCTAATTTTCTGTTATCTCTCTTTCAATCTACCCATTGAGACTGAAGGATGGTTTTGGATGTTCTCTGTGGGCAGTTTACAGCTGGCACATTTCTGTTGGACAGAGCTAGGACAAGCAAGGATGAGACTCCTGATTGGGCACGTCTACACGAAACGCTTGGAACACAGTAGACTAATTCTACTGCACATTAGCACGGTGAGCAAAACCTGCACTACTGCGTAGTACAATTAGTCTACTGCACATTAGCATCACCAAAAAAAGCATGCAGCATGGCTAATATGCGGTAGCCCCAATTACAATACATTAAGGTAGTACCTGTAATTACAAGTACTAAACGTGCCATAATTACAGCATATGAATGAACACGTAGATATGCCCATTGTGTACTTTTTTCTGCTTATAGGTGCAGTTTTACTGAAAGATTCACATATTTTTGCGAGAGTACAGGAAGAATTATCTGCCATGTGCTTAACTAAGGCTCTGCAAAAAGACACAAGTCTGTTTTACTCTACTGTGTAGCTTCGGACTGAGGCCTGTGTGCTCCTAAACTTGACTGTGCATCTTAGACAAACTGAATGAGTGAAGCACAGCACTATCTGCTACAGAATTAGCAGTCTCTGCTGAAAGGGGACCTTCTCTGGAGACCACTATACAAGGTACAGTTGAATGATTGCAGAGGGAAACAACATTTCTGCGACTCACCTGCATTTATCTTAAGGACAGCTCTACCAAATAATGAGGTGCGACAATTTACCTAGACTTGGGATCATGGACCTGCTGATATATTATTGCTGTAAGCAATAGGCTCAGAATAAAGCAAAGTAAACAACTATATTATGATGCAATGCACACTCAAGAGCATTGCAATTGTGAACATAATTGTAACAGCAGATTCATATTGTCCAGCTAAATGGAAAATCTGTAATTCAAGCCATGAAGACAGCAGCTTGGTTTGTGACTTTCAGTATCATAAATCTAAGGTTGGAATCTTGCCCTGAACATGCTACATTGCAAGGTTCCTCTATGGGTTTTTTTAATTAATCTATAATAAAAATAGACTCAGATGTCAATTCACTGCTAATAGGACTCACTGGATACCATCGCAGAACTGTTCCTAATCAATTAATGTTTTTAACTTAGTTAATCCAGTACAAATATACGTTAATACCATTAACAAACCCCCATTCATCACTATGATAGTGCCATCATAATACCAGTTTCTGCTGCACTTAGAATTACATAGGGCAGGGAGGACAAAAATTGGAGCCTGAATAGAAATATCATCTTGTTATTGAAACAACATCTTGATATTTTTACAAGCACAGTGCTATCAGAGGATAGATGAATGTTCCAGGATAGATAATAAATTAAACCCTTGTTTTCATTCCAGAAAAATATCATCACAAATTTTATATTGTCCCAGTACACTAATTGCATGGAGATTATAAGAATATTCAAGGGAAGGAAACCTTCCTTTTCAAACAAGTGATAACTTTTTCAGCCTCAGCTACGTTCCCTCCCAAAAATAAAACTGTAATTACAGAGTAAAGGGAGAGACCCAGATTTACAGTTTGAGGGCTGTGGAGATAATAATCCTAATAAATAGAGGACAGTGCCCAATAAAAATCAGTTATGATTTTGCCTTGTCCCTGACTGTAATTTTCTCATTCTGGTTGTGGGTGGACACATATTGCTTGAGCTACTCCTTCTGAGGATCTCCAAAGTCAATTTTTCACTCTTACATTTCAGCAGCCTACACTTATAGCAAACTTACATTTAATCTAACTGCTGTGTATGATCTAAGAAGCCTTAACTGCAGGACAGAAAACTGTTTAAAGTCTGTGTGATTCATGGAAGGTAAAAACAATAATTATTTTTCATCCAAATGTTCTGATCCATTTTGCCCAAGGGAGACCAGCCAACATAGATTGCTTGAGACACAGCATTTCCAGATAAGGCAGTCTGGTACAGAATTAGTATGCAGGAGATCCAAGTATAATTTTTAGCTCTGATGCTGGTCTTCTACATCAGTGTTTCCCAACCTTTTTGAGCCCAAGGTGCACTTACATTAAGAAAAAATTTCCATGGCACACTTGTTCAGGCATTCCCCATCCCCATACTTATGAGCTCGTTGTAGCTCATTGCCACGGCAAAATTCTGTGGCACAGCTGTTCAGAGGCTCACAAACCGTGCATCCCCCATAGCCAACACATGCACAGTAGATGATTTTCCTTCTGCTCTGCTGGTTCTCTCTCCCCCCCACAGCCAACACCTGTGCAAGTCTTCTGTATCTCTTTTCATTTTTCCAAAAGTCTTGCGACACACCAGGGAGCTCTTCACGGCACACTGGTGTGCTGCGGCACACTGGTTGAAAAGCACTGTTCTATATGACCCAGGCCAAGTCACTTTATTTCCCTGCACCTTTGTTTCTATTTTCATTGTTCCCTGTATTTAGACTGTAAGCTTTTCAGGGTAGAGACTTTTATGGTGTTTGTACAATGTCTAGCACAGTGATTGTCATGCTATTTAGACTCAAGGCACCTCTTGGCTCTTAGATTTCACTCGATTTTTGACTACAGAAAAATAATGGAGTAATTCTTTTGTTGCAAACAACTCAGAAAAACCAGAACAGAGGTTTTTTTGAGTTGTGTGCAACAAGGCAAAACAATTTTTGTTTGCAACAGGGCAGAACAGTTTTAAGATTATGGATTCCTATTTGAAATTTCTGGGTTTATCTTGCAAACCATATTTACACACCTAACAGTGCTAATGTTATGTGGCACCCTGAGACACCCCTGAAGGGACTACAGAGCAGCACCCTGGTTGAGAATTATTTATCTAGCACAACAGGGACCATCTAAAAAATGGCATTTTTTACAAAATTTTCTCATCCTTTTGGATCTCTTTTACCTGGAAAATTCTCTGTTGATTTCCCAGACAGGAGAAAGCCAGCTGGCTGCTTGGTAATTTGAAATAGCATCTTTTACCTTTTTTAGGGAGGTGGTATTTTTCTGTAGTGTATGCAAGGAGCCTGCATTCTTCTAGACTCTGATCTCCCGTATAACCCGATATGCCAAGAAGCTTCCTACTAGTTCAGCTGTAAAATTCCCAGCTATAAAACTGAGACACCTTTGTCATGTATTTCAAGATCTTTTGATGAATGGTGCAATAAGTGTAGTTATTAACAGCAGAAATAAGCGCAAAGCACAAAATCCAGATCCATATATGTGGGAAGTAGGGATGGGACTTAATTTTTTTAACTGGGATTGAAGCATCCATTCAGCTTCTTTTCTCTTTTTTAATTATTGCTCATGGTGTCACAGGAACTCTATGGCTAAGTATGGACAGTCAAAAAGCCTGAGGCTGAGTCAATTCAATTTTTGCAGGTTAGTCTAAACTGTGTAGATTGAACTAATAAGCAAGTGAATAGACATTCACTTTTGATTCTGAAAATGCAGCCACATGTCTGCAGTGGTCCAGGCCAGAAGCCTGGGGAGCACTAGAGCAGTGGTGTCCAACCTTTTTGAATGTGGGGATGGATCATGAACTTTTTATCACCCAGTGGGCTGGCAGGAGCAGGCGCTTGTGCAGCCTGTCCAGTCCGGGCACAGCCTGGGGGCGCAGGGGTCAAGGGGTGCTGCCTGACCCCTCCATGTCCTCTCTGCCACCTGGGTGGCCTCGAGGATGCTCCCAACCTGCGCACCTGGGTTTGGCAGCCAGGGGGACATGTGGGGACTCTATAGGGGGGTGCGGGATGTGCAGGGACACCCTCCTGCTCCCTCTCCCCCAGAGCAGCCCAAGCCCAAGTGGCAGGGGTCCCTCCCTTCCCGGGGTCTGTGACTCACCACCCCCAGCGCGATGTCTGCTGGCGCGGCGGGATGCGGGGAGGTGGAAGCGGCACCAGCTTCCCCCCCCAACAGCCACAGCAGCAGCGGCAGCAGCATCTCCCACAGACCTGGCCACAGCATCCCTCCGCGCCGGCATCCGCGCCCCCTGTGCCTGCTGCACTGCTACCTGCTCCAGCCCATGCGGCCAGTGGGAACTGGTGCAGGGCAGGGCCAGCATGCAAATGAGGAAGGGAGGCGTGGGGCTAGGAACAGAAACCTTGCAATGTGGGAGAGGGGAGGAGCTGGCATGCAAATGAGGAAGGGAGGGGCGGGGGGAGGAAGGGACACCGTAAAATGAGGGGGGGAGGAGGAGCTGTACCACATTGGCAATGTCAAGCTGATGTGGTGCATGTGGGAATCTTGTCCCTTCCCCAGCCCTTCAGCAGCCATTAGGAAGCTGCTGAGGGGCTGGGGGAGGGACAAGGGGTGGGAACGAAAGGAAACAGTGTTTACTTTCATTTCCCATCGCAGCACCGTGGGCCACAGAAAATGGCTTGGCGGGCGGCATGGTGGCCCCTGGGCTGTATGTTGGACAAGCCTGCACTAGAGCATGCCTTCCTTCTTGGCTGGAGCAGACTGCTTGGGCCAAGCCTAACCCACCCACCCTGCGAGGTGGGGCTTTCAGGGAAGGTGAAAAGCATCCTGAGATCTTGGGGGACTATGAGTTGACTTGAATCTGGAGGGGATCTGGGATACAAGTTCAATAAACTGATTTAACCTGAATTGCTTAGGTTTGGTAAAGAAGTTAGAAGCACTCTTTGAACAATTCATTCACAAGTTATTTACCTTTCTTTTTAAAGTCTTTACTTTGTTCATGAAAGAAGTATGCTGGGAGAAAATCAAATAGACATTTGTTTTATATACAGCCTTCCATCACTGTCTAGGTAAAAACCTTCTATTATTATTCCAGTGATCAACAGCATCTTAAATCTTTGCTTGGAAGTAGCTAAGAGCCAATTTCTGTAAATGCTTATGAAGTTGAGTTCAATAAGACCACTCACATAAAGAGTTACTCATAAGATTGGGCCACCAGTGAGGTAGAAAACAGCAATTTGAAAAAAAAAAAGTTAGAGTATTTCACCCTAAATGAGGTGTGAATAAAAGTAAAATAGGTGGCATCAACCTGCAGCAGCACAAAGTATTGACAGAGAGAGAAGGAGCTTGATAGGAAAGTCATGATCTGGAACCTCAATCTATAATCTCTGTGTCGTCCATCAGTCAAAGAGATTTTGCCACCAAGTCAAAGGGCTGATCATGGTGAGACAGCCAAGAGATGAAGGGTGAGGGAAATGTTGAAAAATAATGCAGTGAAACACTGAGGGAGGAACTGAGGAGAAAAAGGAAGTTGGAATATGGGAGGCATATTAAACAAATAGCAGAACATAGACTGGGAAAGGAGGATTAAAAAATTAGATTGAAGTGAACATAAAAGGGGCTGAGAGGGAGAGCCTGCAATAAAGTTGAGATTCAGAGAAAGCACGAATACAAGGAGACAGTTTTCAATAAAGGGAGGTGAAAAAATCAAAATGAAAAATAAGAGTGAGCACCAGTGCAAGACAGAAGAAATGTAAATTGAAGAGGTAATGCAAATCCTGCAATCTTAACATGGGGACAAATGGGAAGAAGACCCTGGTCAGTTAAGGGTGGGGGAGAAACAATCAACCAATCAAGAAAGGTTGTTCCTTAAGAATTTCACTTCTTGGGAATTATGTTGAACAAAAGGTGTAAGATGAGCTGATGGACAGGCTCATGTGCGTCAGATAAACTAATGACTACTGCACACATGGGGCAGAAAGGAGATATTATTAACCCCTTTGCTTCTGTCTCATCCCTATTTCATGCATAGCATCTCCCTCTACTGTGATTAACACTTTAGCCTGCAGTAGTTATTGAATTCATTGTCTTTTAGGGGCCAGGAAGGAACTCCCCCCTTGCTGCCTGATTGAGTGGGATAGGATATATTTTTTCTTTTCCCCTTGGGGAAGATGCAGTAGTAAGTGTCCTGCAAGCGTTCTACTTGTTTAATAGGGGCCTGGCTCTCTAATCATACACGGAAACCAGAACTGGAAATGACCCTGGAGGAAAACATTCCAGAAAGAAGCCAGAGCCTGGAGTTTGAGCTCCTAACACCCAGGCCTGCAAGGAGACAGCTCCTTTTCACCAGACTCTTAATCCTGGTACAAGAGGAGATGAGGGGATGGTTCCATCATTGTGCTATGGACCAGCAGTGAAAGGGTACATGGAAGGGTATAATGGCATCTCTCAACCAGGTGAGAATGATTAAAGAAGGTATCATGACCTATGCTGAATGAGTTAGTGCCAGTAGTGCCCAGATGAGTTAAGTTAATAAAATGGCAACCTAATTATATCCTAAATCTTGTACAGTATTTTATCCTACTTTCCATGAGCCTAGGACAATTAACACACGATTGGGTGAAATGAAAAGACAGTTTTAGAGGGGAAAATTCTGACATTGATAAAGATGCATTAACCAATATATTTTAGCGAAAAAAAATCTCATGGGGAAAACATGAGAAATGACAGACAGAAATGACTGAGGCAAGGAGATGGGTAAGAAAGGAGAGAGAAATTGGTGCATAGGGACAAAAAAGAAAGGAAAACCAAAAGAGAAACAGAATTGCACGTTAATTTGTAAGCGGTTTAAATGTGTGTTCAAAGGTGTGAAATACTGTATGTAAGAAGAATGATTATTGTGTGCTTAACTCTGTTCTAAGTGGTATAATGAATCGGTATAGAAAGGTTAGTTGCATATCTTTTGGTGAAGAGATCCAGCTAACCAGGACAAAATTCTTCAGTAAGGAAATTCTGTTGAATTCATTTCGCTTGTTCCCTGGATCCTGGTCAGTTACTAACAAACTTTCTCGACTTTGGTTTTCTTTACTATTAAGGAGGACTTTTGCTCACTTACTAGCTCTGATAAATATTTAACGTGAACAAATAGTTTCCATGTTAAGACCCCAATTCTGCCAAGACTGATTCTGAAGAGTCTGTGGCAATAAGCAGGACTATCTACAGTGCAACAAAGCTAAGCACACAAATCTTTGCAGAGTCAAGGCCCCAGATTTTTCTATTTGAAAGCCTGTGAAATTACTCATTTCACACAATTAATTTATTACTTTAAATTACTTTCTGTTTAGCATCAAGTTAAAAAGTAAAAACAGTTTTATTTCAGTATGTGATAGGCTTTGCTTGAGGGATTAGCTGTGATTGGTCCCATAAGTCACATGGTCTTTCTTTTCTGTTCTCAAATGAATGGGTGTACCATATAATCAGAACAAGGACTTGCAGAGGCGTTGAGTTTTAGTAATCGAGAGAGCATTAGCAATTTAGGGAGAGGTAACAGATGTTAAAAAAGAAAAAAATAGTAGAAATTATAAAAAAATGGGAATCTTTTTTCCTTACTGCAACATGCAGATCTTTTTCAAGGCATCAATCTTAGAAACATTAGTCAGATTTAACTAGCTAAGTTTGAATTCATTTTTGTTACCTTTTTATGGAGTAAAAGTGTATGAATAAATGACTCTGGCTACAAAGGATGTAACTGGCATCTTGTCTGGCACATGTGTAAATAACTGTGAAGCTCTGGTGAGTCAATTTGAGAAGGCTTGCACCCAGCTGTGGCAAACCCATGCCCTAGCCATTACAAAATACACTATTGTTAGTTCAAGTATTTGAGCTTGCAAGATGAAAACATCATAATTATGATTTATGTGATTAAAGCTACACCATTCAACTGCTGGCAGAAGGCAGATACAAAAGGAACATTAAGAGTCTCAGGTCTGGCATAGGAACACATATTACATACTTTCTGGGGCAGGAATCATGTCTTTACTTGTTGAATTAGCTACCAAGCATTTTTGGCTGCTCAAATAAAGTAACAGTAGACAAATAATATATCTTTCTATGTGCCTATGTGCCTATCACTGCGGTATACAAGCATCATTGCAGATATGGGTAACAGACATTACAGATTTAGCTGTCATTTTGTTGTATCATTTTACCTTCTAAACCTGTCTGTAAGAAAAAAGAAAGAAAATGTTGTTTGACATGCATGCAAGAAGGTTTGTTCTGCTGCTTATGTATCTGTAAGATTGAAAGATTTCTCTTGGTTTCACTATTAGCATAATCAAAAACATTGCACTCTATCATTCTGTTAAAGTAATCCTTGTGGTTATTATGGAGATAAAATAGACAATGGAATAAACTCTCAGTTGCACTGGAGTAAATCCAGAGTAATTGCAAGAATCAGAATTCTATTGGGGTAAATGAGATCATGTATAACAAAAAGTTTGTGCATCACAAAATGTATAGGGATTGAAACTGCTATGAGGTCCACATGCTGGGAAGTCGCCTTTTTTTATTTCTCTCAAACATTTTCCCTCCCCAATATATATATATGTATGGATGTGTATGTGTGTATAGAGACAGAGGGAGAGAGATGTGTGTGTGTGTGTGTGTGTGTGTGTACACACCCATTTATCTCTCTCTCCCTTTCTCTATATAGAGAGAGAGAGAGGGAGAGAGATTTTTTTAAATGTAATATATATATTTTAGTGGT